GCGTGGAAAACCAACGAACAATATGAAGATCGCTGGTAAAAGATAATCGATTATTGCTGGTTCGAATGTATTTGTTTCCTAGATATATATCCAATCTCTTCTATTCAATCAACGCCTTGGGCGCTGGCACTTATCCGGCTTCGCATCACGTTGTTAATTACAGCGTCTCTTTCAATCAACAGACCTGCCAATTCGGATCTGTCTATACAAGTTCTCCTTCTCAATGGCCCTACCTACACACCCGGATATGCACCCCCAACAACCCTGATTATTCAGCTGTGATTAATTAACCTTAGATATCAGACTTCGCTCTTTAGACATTGTCTCTTTGAAACGATCAGGACGCCATGCATTCGCGATATCAAGGTGAGAATGACTGAACCAAGTGAAGAATCAAGCAATGGATCAGAAAAAGGAAGCTGAAATTTAAAGGCTGAAATTTCCAGGCTGAAGCTCCTTTTATATTTAGAACCGCTCCAATTCTTCCAGGGATCGATTGGACGGTGTTTTGGAACTCTCTTTCGAAATTGGGATCATTATGGCATCCCACGATTCTTCGAGATTTATTATCTCCATTCCCACCACATCGAAAGAAAAAAAGAAGGATAGATAGAAAGAAATTATTTTTCTTTTGTGTTCTGCGTTCCTTCGGGAAGTAAGCGGTCATGGCTCTCTTATCACTTATAACTCTTAGCAATGTTTCTTTCTTTTTTTTTCTTTTTTTTTTTGTATTTTTACTATCATTCCAATTCCATATTCTGCCATCCACTTATATAGGATGACTCTCTGCGCCTTTCCCCTGCCCCTTTTGTTTTCAATATGTCCTATGTGCATCAGATTCTCTGATCCCTCTTTCCTCGTTTACAGTCCCAAAAATTTCAACTCTGTTTTTTCTGAGTCTGTCTATATTTCTGAGATGAGGTATCATGTACATTATTTACATTCTTCGGACTATTGTCTACATCTTTGTCGCCATATTTATTACAACGTTTCGGCCGTTGTATGCTCTGGCCTTCTTCAGGTGGTTCGAATGTCGAACTGAACCCTTTATTTTGCTCCCCGGGGTAGACTGTTCTAGTTCCACGTGCCATGTTTGATGGATGTCAGTTTTCAGTTATCTCCTGCTAATTTCCCTCTGAAATTTCCATTGCCTTAACCGGGTACTGAACTCACACACTTTGGGTCCTGTCACTGGATCTAACCAACGCCTTTATCCACTGTGCCATGTGTCCTTGAGGTCTGTTTTTTTTCTTTTACTAATGTTCACCCAATACAAGGCCCAGGGGCCACTCAAGGTAGAGGGTTGCTGTGTGCAATTGTATTAGCATAGGAAAAGGCAAGATAACAGGAAAGATAGCTAATTCTAGACTTGAAGAGGTCAAGATTTAATTAGCGAATTAGATCAGGCGGAGACATTAGAAATATAAAATTGAAATGGACTTTGGAAGGAACCGGAAACACAGTCCTAAACAGGAAACAAGGGAAAAACCTCTACTCCTGTTCAAAAGACTGGGGAGATGTGTGAATCGGATTATAGTCAAACCTATCTACTCCTATTTTATGGTTCTACATGTTTTTAACTTTGTTTAGAAGCAGAATAAAAACACCACTTGTCCAATTATATTGATGCCTATACAAGCTAGCTGTGTCAGCCAAGTTAATGTTACTGCGGTATAAGCTACTTCTGGATCACTTTAAGCTTTAACACTCTGGATCACTACTTTCCTTTCCAATGAACTGCTTTACAAGGCTTCTCTACTGCACTACTTAATTTCAGTCATGATCATTTTCTGTTGCCCTAGCAGGATATGACAGCACAACTGCAAAATTAAAACACTATTATTCCTTATTATTCTTATGCTAAAGGTTAAAAATACGGTTAAACCTCATCTCAAAAAAAATTATAAATTTAGAAATTTCTATTTTCCTTAAAACTTACTCGTTGCTCACGTGATTCGTTCGTAGTATTCTCAGTATCTTTCTGCCGGCCATATTTCTGTTGTCTCAAGGGCTTCTCTTCATCCTTGAGGAAACTGTACAGCATCCTCTGCTAACAGAAAGAAATAGGAAAAAAATAAACTCAAAAGATAAAAAAAAAATGGATGAAAGAATTGAAAATGAGTGATAGTTAAACTAAACGTCATAATCATCAGTCGCCTGACCGGAAGTGGTCATAGGGACACTGTAGAGCTGAGCACCTGGGCAGTTCCCGCCACATATGTGGGTTGAAAGTAGGAGACGAATTCATTCATGTGTAACGTGTCTTGGGTTAATGAACCTGGTGTCGACCATCCATCTGCAGATCGATGTCCTCCAACTTGTAGGCTTCGCCCTAGTCATGAAGACATGGACGTTGTTTCGATCGGGGCAACCTTTCGCCCTGGTCGTTGACTTCAGTCTAGGAAACCCTCCGCTCTGCGATGTTTTATCTTTACCACACTAGCTGCATAAAGAACTATAAAAAATCTCAATCTATCCCATTGTACTAGATGACCGTTGAGCCGACAAGAATGTTCATCCGACCTTTGACAGTTTTGGATAACTAATGCAGGGAACTGGCTTAGATAATCCAACTGGCTTAGATAATCCAACTGTATGGTAGGTAGTTCAGTGTCACATGGCACCAATAACACTCGTAGAGGGACCTGAAATGATAACAACAAAAAATAATTCAAAACACAAGAGAAGGCAGTAGAAGACTAATAAACTACATCTGCCATGAACAACAATGTCTATGCAGTTTTCAGTTAATAAATTCAATGGAAGATTTGGAGAGCCATGTTTCGCCTACGTTCTAAGACGATATGGCATTTAATTAGGGAGAATGTCAGAGTATTTATGTTTTAATCTTGCATAGATTTTAAGATATGATTGTACTTGATCCAGAAAAAATTACAGACTTCAATATTCGCTTGTATAATCTATGATTTTATTAAATTGTCTTTAATCAGATAATAAACTTTTTGGCATGATTTTTTTCAGAATTTAAATAAATTTTAATGCTTTCAGACCAGTATCCTTATCTTTCTTGTTCTTATAAGAACGTTGTACTCTTCGGCCTTCCACTGGTGTCTATTGTATCTGATAAACTTCAGAGATTTTTAATCGAAGTTTTAGCGAACCCAAGATTAATATTTAAGGTGGCGACAAGAAAGTCCATCGACCCTTTGACAGGTGTTCTTGTTAATCCTCCTAGATGCCTTGTGCCCTTCTCAACAGAAAAGATTGGTAATAAAACCTATGTAAATTTATCGTTGACACGTCTAACAATACAACTACCATTTCTCAATTAGCACACCACACCTCTCCGACTCCGAACTGTGTCACTTCTCTTTTGCCTCTTAGTCGCGAGTCCGCTAGCTTTGTTGAACAATACTGACCTTGCGTGTCATCCGGCTTTCTTTTCCCTTCTCAGTTCGGGCCAGTAAGTTATCTCGAAACGGTTGATTCGGGTTTCCAAAAATTTTAGGATATTTGGGATTGACGGCAAAGTCTAGTGTGAATTCCTTATATACGTTGTGTACCTGAGACAAGATTGAATAATTCCTGTCTATGGCCGTGGTAAACTTTTGTCTCATATTCGAATGCAACTTCCGAAGTCAGGCTGGAAAAAGAGCAATAAAACGCACAACACCGTTGATGACTCTATCAACAGGTTTATTGATTATAAAGAAAAAAAAAAAGGTTGAATAAAATGCCTCTATCAGGTACTGCAAATCAAAATATTTTACTAAAGGGCTGGTGATTTTGAGATTCTGATTGCCACCGTTAAAATAATAGCCAACAGGTCGGCCTTTACTCAATTCTTTCATCATATGTGTATCTGTGTGTTCTGTAAGGTCACTTAAATGCGAGTGTGTTTTTCGTGTCTGATGTCTGCTTCCCGTTAGGGAAAAAATGGCAATTCACAAAGCTCAATTTCATTTTCTCCATATTCCCGTAAATTGAACCTACTGGCTTTTCTCACCAGCCCCAGAAATCCAAAATAAGGATAACTTTAAAAATTACAGACGATTGTCGCAGAAAAAGGCATTTCTTAATCTTAAAAGGCATTTCTTAATCTTAAAAGGCATTTCTTAATCTTAAACGATCTTATAAGTGGTTATATGGCATTTCCATTATATATTCAACGTTTTCCTAGATATTTTTCTGAAAATATCCTAAATATGTTTCTGGAAATTTCCTAAATATCTTTCTGGAAATATTTACGTTGATCAGCCCAAGAGGCTGGTCAACGTAAACAAATCTCAAATTTTGTGGCTTAACATAGAGCAGATGTTTTGTATCTTTGTCAAAAATAATTTAGATCATTATTTTGTGTGACCACACACATTCTCTCCAGATAGCATATTGTAAACAAAATATCGGAATTCTAAGTTCTCCGGAACCCCCAAAAATTGGATAACACATTAATCCTCCCTTTCTTATCGGCTGAAAATTGATAGGGTTGGATTTCTTGGTTTTAAACAATTTTGCTGAATCCTGTCGTGTTAATTCTGGGCTCGATTCTCCCTGAGACTATTCTTAATTTTATTATTTTAAAACAAATTTTAGCGCGTTACATTTTTAATTTTCTTCTCAACCATTCAATTCACTCTCCTGAGAATTTTAACAGTCATCATCCAATTGGCAGTCTCTCCAAATCACCATACTGTAATTTCATGCATTTAAACGTTTAGTTAGGGTTAGTGCCCTGTTACATTAATTTAATCAGTTCAGTGGTCGATGACCCGACCATGCGGCAGTTGGTACTAGGTTACATGATACCATTAGCTTTCTGAGTGTGACATGACATCAATTATTATGAATAATGAACAATATTCTGAGGAAAAGATGATTGGTTATTAATTATTGTCAAGTCTTGAAGCCTAATTGCTCTCAACTTCCGGTTTGCTTGATTGGAAAATCATGAAATGGGAAGTGTAGAGAATAATAATTTGCTCAAGTTTTGACATTCTAAAGTACGATACCGTAGAATACTTTTCTCCTCCTTCTTCTTCATGGCTCTCCACAACTTCCGATCCTTAGCAGCATTTCTCCTGTTGGCAGGCCTCCCGCTATCCGTTAGCTCAAGTTTTCACATTCTAACATATAATACCGTAGATTATTCTTATTCTTATTCTCTTATTCTTATTATTTGTAATCTTATTCTTATTCTTATTATTCTTATTATTATCATCATTATTCTTATTCTTATTATTCTTATTTGTAATTTTTTATTATTCTTATTCTTATTCTTATTCTTATTATTCTTATTTGTAATTTTATTATTCTTATTCTTATTATTCTTATTCTTATTATTCTTATTCTTATTATTCTTATTTATTATTCTTATTTGTAATCTTATTATTCTTCTTATTATTCTTATTCTTCTTATTCTTATTCTTATTATTCTTATTCTTATTCTTATTATTCTTATTCTTATTATTCTTATTTGTAATTTTATTATTCTTATTCTTATTCTTATTCTTATTATTCTTATTCTTATTATTCTTATTCTTATTCTTATTATTTGTAATCTTATTATTCTTATGCTCATTATTCTTATTATTATCTTTATTATTCTTATTCTTATTATTCTTATTATTCTTATTATTATTATTCTTATTCTTATTATTTCTTGTTTTCCATGGCACTCCACAACTTTTGATCATTAGTAGCAACGTTTCACCTTTTGCCTAGCCTCCCTCCCTCCGTTTACTCAGGTTTTGAGATTCTAAAATACGATACCGTAGATTATCGAGACCTAAACGTTGTGATTTAAAAACTAAAACACATACCCGACCAAAGACCAGAGAAAAGTTTAGGTGTTCTCATAACGTACTGAATTTTCTGTATAAAGAACATTTCCAGCCAAACAACTCACTAGGGAAAAGGTTAATTCAGCAAACTTACTAGGTTTTTACTTGTTTAAATAATTCAGTACAGTTTTAAGAAAATCTAATTAAACAGATTATTTTAACATATTTAGATAATTACATATTTTGTCCGGATAATTCCATATTTTTTAGTAATGTGTAATAGCAGACATCAACAAGGTTCAGTACGAATGCTGTAGACGTTCTAACTTACTAACTGGATGTTGACAAGGCAGTTATAAATTATACAAACAGGATAAATATAAAAGTGATACTTTATTTACAAAAATATTCTCTATAATTAGGAAATTCTAAAATTTAAATTAAAAATAAATGACAGAATAAATACCTATTAAAATATACAAATTAAATATTGCCGCTAATGATGTAGACGCCATTTGTTAGTAATATATATAAAAGGTCAGTTATCTGTTGTTACATGTTAACTTCTACTGACGTAGGATAGTTCAAAATTATACGAATTTATAAAATAAAACGAAGACATTTTTCCGAATAAATTTATTTGAAAACTATTCAACCGAGATGAGTTCTCGGCTGAATAGTTTTCAAAAGGTATTAGATACTCTTCGCTTTATCGACGTTATGAGAAACATAATTACACAGCATGACCGAAAAGAACGGAATGTGGCACAAGGTCAATGAGTCTCACATGTACAATAGACCAGAGACGAAAACTATTCCATCCTCATCAGACTTCTCTTTTGGGAACACCACTGGCGCCAAGGATTAAACCTAGCCCTGATTCGAAGGAGAGGTACTGCCTGATACTTGCCTGGAGAGAAAGGCCCACTGGGACTGGAAGTAAATCGTTGATTTTGCGTCTCAAAGCCAAAAGCCTTCGAAGCAATTATCTTTATCTAAAAACCCCCTTGAACGGAATGCGATACAAGGCTGAGTTTAAGGTGGGAGTCACAAGTGTCCATTGAACCAAAGACCAAAAATAGTCCAGTCCCCTTTGCTCATGCATCTTGTGGTGACGACTCCAGCGCATTGGAAATGACCGTAGCCTCCTGCCAAAAAAACATATATTGCCTGAGGAGACAGACAACTTGGGACTGGATTTAATCAATCTTTGTGCTTCAATGGCAAAAGGCTGAGAGGTAATTTCTTCAAACCTTCATACATTTAAATCTCACAAATAGAAGTCGGTTTGCTAAATTTATCCGATCTCCCTACATCGTTTTTTTTTTCTTTTCGTTTAACTTTATGATTTTGTTTTCAATCATCTAACACTAAGGAAGGCTATGAAGACACTAAGATGCAAGGGGTTACTCAGAGTGAAAGAGTCTAAGAAAAAAAACATTCTTAAGGAGAGAGAACAATAAAAAAACAGAATTTCAAATCGACAGAAGATGTCGATTGACAATGAATTTAAATTCATAAAATTGATTGTAATTTTCTTTTTCTTTTATTCTTTTTACTGATAATTTCCCTAGATCCCCTTTTCAATCTTGATTTTTCTCTATATTCTTCGATAAATATCTCCCCGTTTTTCTGGCTTCCATTTTTTCTATCTTTTCTTTCTTTCTTTCTTTCTTTCTTTCTTTCTTTCTTTTTTTTAGCTTTCTTTTTTATTTCTCCTTCAAATAAGCCTTTTTTCTTTCTTCGATAAATATCTCCCCGTTTTTCTGGCTTCCATTTTTTCTATCTTTTCTTTCTTCGTTTCTTTCTTTCTTTCTTTCTTTCTTTCTTTCTTTCTTTCTTTCTTTCTCCTTCACTCCCAGCCTTTCTTTCTTTCTTCGATAAATATCTCCCCGTTTTTCTGGCTTCCATTTTTCTTCTTTTCTTTTTTTTCTTTCTTTTCTTTACCATTTCTTTTTTTTTTCTTTTTTTTCTTTCTTTCTTTCTTTCTTTTTTCTTTTCCTTCACTCCCAGCCTTTCTTTCTTTCTTTCTTTCTTTCTTTTCATTTTTATCCTTATTCTGTCGTTTTTATTTCTTTTCATTCCTTTTGACTTTTTTTTTTTTTTTTTTTCATTTATTCAGCTTATAAATTTGGTTCAAAATCCATTAATCTTTTTTTTTTATTCTTCTAACAAACAATTTTTTCTTGGATTTCCTTTTCAATTGAATTTTTTCCTGATATAAACAAAAAATGGGTATGACAATAAACTTACATCCGCGTCCTGGGTAAGACGATAAAAAAACATCCAACAGCAAGGCCTCTGATCAGGAGGTTTTGAGGAGCAAGCGAACCACCTCTTAATTGTTGGTGTTTCCCAGGTCCACCCAGACCTGGGATGGTAGCACCTGTTAGGGTCCCAAATATGAGCAAATAGTTAACATTTTAACTTGTGTAATAATAGGTTTTAATACCAGAAATACTTTGTAATAAAAAATTATTACCAGCAATATAATTTTTGAAGGAAAAATTATTATGGATATAAACTTTAAAAAAAATACCAGTAATACAAACAGCTATACATTCTTTTTTGAAAAAAAATTATGACATTTTATAGATTTTCAAGGAAAAATATTCCCAGAAATAGATTTTTGAAGAAAAAATATTTACCAGCAATAAAAATTTTGTCGGCATCAAAATAACCCATTGAGGTTGATATACCAAAAAACAAACCAAATCAAATATATAATTCTTTAAAGTGACTCACCAGATTTTTTTTTTTAAATAAATTTTTTTTTGCCTAGTTTTTTTTTGAAATAAATTAATTTTTAATTTTACTGATAAAAGACCCCTTCCCGACCATCTTGTAAAAAAGTTTACTTTAATAAAATTATTCTATTGATAATTATAATTTTAGATATAAATGAGATTTAGGAAAAAAAACTATATTAAAAAAATTGAATTTTCACTTATTTCCTGCAACTAGTAATCAATAGAAACATAACCTTACAGCTTTAAATAAAGAATAATAGAGGTATAATTTATTTATAATAGGTAATATAGTTCGAAATATTTAATAATCTATGGGTCCTCCTTTATTTTGAATAACCTTTTCAACCCTTTTTGGCATTGACTTGATTAGGTTCTGGCAAATCTCATCTCCAAGCATTTAATTTCATTCGGATATGAAATTCACAATCAAATCCTCTTAGTTGCTCAACTGCTTTCTCGAGAGCCTGTATTTTATAATGCTCCATAAGTTTTCTATGGGGTTGAGGTCAGGAGATTGGGTCGGCCATGTCATAACACTCACCTGCTTCTCATCAAAGTATTCCTTCATCAATTTTGATTTGTGACATGGAGCATTATCCTGTATAAAAATGGGCTTGGTGGGGTCGATTTGCACCCTTTCAGCAGAAGAGAGCAGACAAGACTCTAAAATTCTCTTGTACTGCTCGCACCTGAGGGGTCTTTTCACTAGGTTTTAAGAAACCAGTTCCATGAAAAGAAAAGCATCCCCAGAACATTATACTGAACAGATGCTTGACAGTACTTACTGCTAAATTCAAAGAGCTTTCAAAGCTTCTTCTTCAAATTTTAGATCGCTTATCCTTTGAATTTAGTTCAACTTTCGTTTCATCGGAGAAGAGAACATTTAGTTAAAAAAAATCAGGTGAGTCACTTTTATCGAACAGCGCTGTATCTCTGCGTTTAATTTTCTTTTCTTTCTTTCTTTCTTTCTTTCTTTTTCTTTTTATCTTCATTCTTCCGTTTTTTTCTTTCTTTTCTTTAATTTTCTTTCTTTTGTAAAATTCTTTTCGTTAGTTAGTTAGTTATTCAACTTATAAATTCTCTTTTTATCTTAATGCCAACACAAGAAAAAACGCGCATGCGTGTGTGTGTGTGTATGTTGCTTTTTCTGACTTTCGCCGTATTTTTTTTAATTTCTCAGAAGAAATGAAATCCATTTGTCTTTTCATGCTACTAATTCCGCTTTGACCAGTGTCAAAGTCAACCTAAACGCGTGTGAATAATGACAATAACAAATATATTGTAAAATAGTTATTTCTTTGTTCACTGTTTCGTTGTTTCCACCTGGTGATAGATGTTGGACAAGGTTTCAGGAGTACATACACTCACTGGTCACTCGATTATGTATACTCAACTAGTAACAGGTTGGGCCTGCTTTTACCTTTAGAACCGGCTCAGTTCTTCTGGGCATGGATTCAACGATGTTCAGGAAAACTCTTTCCGAAAATTTCGATCCATACCTTTATCACGGCATCCAGCAGTTCTTCGAAATTGTTTAATCTGCACATCCAGGATTCGAAACACCACAACCCGAAAGTGCTCTATGGGACTGAGATCCGGTCATTTGGGGGGGGGGCACTTTAGCACAAAAATATCATTGCTGTGTTCTATTAACCAATCTGCCACTATTTATAATCTGTGACATGGTATGGAATCGCCACAAGAGGATGGGTTCACACCGTAGTTCCAAATCGAGACAAGTGATCAGCCACAATACCTGGGTAGGATGTGGCATTTAAACGATCTTTTATCAGTATCATTTACCAATTTAAAATATTCTTCTATGCCATTACACTAAACATTTAAGTCTGAAATACAGACAAAGGCAAATAATCCATTTTCAAACCAGGGATATTTTCCCAGTCTTCTATTTTTGTCATCCTTCGCGAATTGTACCCTTACTTTCTTGTTGCTATCTGAGCGACAACAGACATGGTTTTCTGCTGCTGTAGCCCAATTGCTTCAAGGTTCAACATGTTGTGCGTTCTTCTAGTCGAATTACTGTATTTCTTTTTGCCCCATTATTAAGTTTCCCCGGCCTCTTTCATCAGCAAAGAATTTGAGGTCACAGAATTGATGCTCAATGGATGTTTTCTTTCTTTTTCTGACCATTCTCTGTCAGCCCAATCGATGATTGAACAAAAAAAATCCCTGTCGATCAGTTTTTTAAACACTCAGATTTTTGTCGTTTAAAACCAAAGACAACGACTTCCTTCATCATAGTAATGTATGAAGCGAAATTCAGTACACCGCCATGACCACATTTAAATGCCTATATTCATTAAATTGCTTCCATGCCATTAAAATGATTAGAAATTTATTTTAAAGCTTTTTTTCATGGAACTTTTAATTTTAAATGATATATTATATATATATATATATATATATATATATATATATATATATATATATATATATATATATATATATATATATCATTAAAGACGACTGACAAGGTACTACGATTAAATTTTTTTTCAGTTTTTCTTTGGGTATAAAAAAGCTTTTTTTTTAAGTTAATGAAATTGTAAAAATTTTACAAATGAAGGGAATTTAGAAGGAATCTGAAACCATAATCCTAAACATTTTAAAGAGCGATAGGTGAATATATTATACTTATATATATATATATATATATATATATATATATATAAAGTTTTAAATTCCTTTGATGTACTGTAAAAAATGATAAACTTAAAACATGGTCATTTGAAACTGTCATATATATATATATATATATGAAAATGTTATATATATATATAATATATATATATATATATATATATATATCATATATATATATAATAACAATAATATTTATATATATATATATATATATATATATATGTTATAAATATATATATATATATATATATATATATATATATATATATATATATATATATAGTTGTATATTTAGGTAAATTATCCTTCCTTTATGCATGTTTCATTAAAAAATATACAGACAAGGTTACTACATAAAAAGTATTTTTTATTTTTTTTTCTATATGTTCTGAAAAAGATATATATTTTCACAAAATAATTGGACAAAAAACTTGTGTAAGAACTGTCCAAATGTTTTATATTTCCGATAATAAAGCTTTTTTTATACCTTTATATTAATTATCAAATGATGATTCGATTTTCAGCTTAATTGACAGCTAACGTTATCCTCAAAAATAACAACACACCAAAGTCAAAATTACAAAGAACGAACATTATCTATGAGTTTCAATGAGTCTTTTTTGAACTAAGGTTGTTCGTGATCAAACCGGACTCATAAATAATTACATCGGTTACACAACCACATGCTTATCCAGACGTCTTACGTTACACCTATCTGATCACAGCTCCATTAGAACCCATTTAAACACACACACAAATTTACCCGATTCCATTAGGAACATACTAGTAGAAAACACAAATATATTAACTGCATCCACCTGCAAAAAAAGACTAAAAATAATGGAAGCTTTAATAATAAAAAAGAAAAAGCCAACTCTTAACAATATTAAGTACGAACAAAGCCACAATGTGCTAACCGTATTCGGAAAATTAAAAACATCCCTACCACACACTAATAAATACACAGAACGCACACACTCAATTAAGCTGAAAAATCGAATCATCCTTAATAATGGCTAAAGGTAGAGCCGAAAGCGCTCGGAAATATAAAACATTTGGACAGTTCTTACACACACCTTTGTCCAGAAAAAGAAAGCTCTTGTTCAGAACACAAAAAAAAATTAAATAAAAAAAAAACCGTAGTACCTTGTCTGTCGTTTTTAATGAAACATGCATATATATATATATATATATATATATATATATATATATATATATATATATATATATATATATGGCATGTTTCAAAAAATAACGCTTTACATATCAACATTACAGTACATCAAAGGAATCGTTTTACTGCTATTTCAATCAATCGCCCTCACCTTGCGTAAACCAGGTACTTCAGCTATTATTTGACAAAGCACACGTTCATCATCGATAGCCAGATGTTTTTAGAGTTTGTATCATTTTGCATGTTTTATATAATTTTCATAAAAAATATTCTTGAAATATAATCACCTCTGGTGGAATTTATATAAAACTATATTAAACTATTGATAGGCTAGTTTAAGATCTATGATGGGAGTAAGACCCTAAAAACAACCCGCCTGTAAAGGAAATGCTATTATTAGTGGATACTTGTATTTGGACAGACGCTTCGTTTATTTATTAAACAGTATCTTTATTTATTTTACTTTCGTCTACCGGAGAGAATATTCGATAGGTCTTATTAAAGAAAAATTTGTGGTCTCCTGCAGGAATCGAACCTGTATCCCTCAGATCGTTACCGTTTAGCCCGGCACGCCATACCCATTTGGCCACGAGAAACAAAATCTGTAGACTAGATAAAAAAAATATACTATTTAATAAATAAACGGAGTGCCTCCACAAATACGAATATCCACTAAAATAACGTTTAAAATAGATAAAAAGTTTATTTTATGTGTTGTGTGTGTGTGTGTGTGTGTGTGTGTGTGTGTGTGTGTGTGTGTGTGTGTGTGTGTGTGTGTGTGTATTGGAGCAAGAACTGTTCAGCACCCCTCAGATATCTCGGTCGTTTTTTTCTTTTTTTTTCTTTTTATTCATTACTTTTTAGTAAAAGAAATACATAAAGACGGTTTTATTTCCCACCAGTTATATTTTTTTATCTATTTTCGCAGCGTTCTGAAATTTCGGATGTCCACCTCCACTTCCGTTTTTCCACTTCCGTTTTTTGTTTTTCTTCCACTCCCTGTTTCCTTGTCATTTAATCAAATTTCGCACTTCTATAAAAAAAAATAAAAAAATTGTTTTATACCGATTATTTTGTTCTCTTTCTTTTTGGTTAGGGATAAATTTATTTTATCTTCCTCATATTTTCCTTCCTCTTTTTTTTTTTTTGAGTTAACCTCATATTCTTTTTTTTACTTTTTCTTTCTCTTCTTCTCTAACATTCTCTATTTCTCCTTTGGTTTTCCTTTTTCTCATCTTATACTTCATCTAATTGTTTTTTTGTTTGTTTGTTTGTTTGTTTTTGTTTTGTTTTTCATCTTTTTTCGACCTCTTCATTTTTTTTCTTTCCTTTATCTTCTTTCTTTTTTTTTTCTTCGTTTTAACAAAACCTTTTTTTTTTTTTATTTGTTGTTATTATTTTTTCTTCTTGTTTTTATTTTTCTACAATTTTCTTTTTTATTCTTATTCGAAATCTTCTTCTTGTGTTCCCGCTTCTTATTTTGATTATCTTTCTTTTTCATTCTTCTATAGTTTTTTTTTTTTCTCCGTTTTCTCATCTCTTGAATCAATTTTTCATTCGCTCGTCCATTTTATTGTATTTGTGGCGGGGGGTGTATTTAGCCTTTCCTATTTTTCAACCTTTTCTTCTTCATTTTTCATTACTTCTTTTCTTACATTTTTTTCTTCTTCTTCATTTTTATTTTCTTTAAATTATTTTTCGGTCGTTTTTGTTACGCCTTTCTTCTACTTCTTCTTCTTCTTCTTTTTCTTCTTCTTCTTCCTGCTCCTCCCCCTTCTCCTCCTACTCCTCCTTCTCCTACCCCTTCTTCTTCTTCATTTTCCTTTTGCCTTAAATTACTTTAAATTAATAACTTCTTCTTCTTCCTCCTCCCCCTCCTCCTTCTCCTACCCCTTCTTCATGTTCATTTTCCTTTTGCTTTAAATTACTTTAAATTAATAACTTCTTCTTTTTCTTTTTCTTTTTCTTCTTCTTCTTCTTGCAACATTTCAAATATCCGAAACCGATGCCTTTCAACTTCCTTTTCAATGTTCATGCCAGCCCTTTCAATTTAGCTAAATATTTCTTCTTCTCCGTCCACCTACTGACCATTGCTAAGGTCATTCGGTGCTCTATATAACTAAGTAAATTTTGTGAATATCTATGACTTGCCACTGAGGCTAAAATAGTGATACATTTACCTCCTGCTTCAGAGGTTTATGTTCAAAAACGGAATTTTGAATAATGGCTTCAAAACAGGCAAATCCTCAAGTCTTCGAAAACTGACGTAATATTATCTTTATCTGCTCAATTCTACCTTCTTTTAGGGTCATTAATTCTTAACATTATAGAAATAGATAAGTTCGCCTCATCCAGTTCACATTTCTTCCCGGTCTTTTGAACAGAAGTAGAGGGTTTTTTTCCCTTGTTTCCTTGATTCGGTTTCCGGTTCCTTCTAAAGTCTACTCCCAGACTATACTTCTAACCTCTCCGACTGATCTCTGAAATGTTATTCACTAATTAAATCTTGACCTCTTCAGGTCAAGAGTTAGCCGTTATCTTTCCTGTATAGCTCCAAGAACTTCACTTCTTGTCCTTTCTTCCAACTCGACGCAATAACCTTCTACCTTGAGTGCCTCTTGGGCTCTGTGTTGGGTGAACTTTAGTAAATAAACAGCGCCAATGACCATCTTACATTTTAATTTATACTTTGCGTTATTTTAATATGTTTCCTATCAGAGGTCAATTCTGAAATCTGACTTAAATGTCAACCTTCTAACAGCCATCTTCGGCAATTAAATTTTTTTATAAGTTGATTTGTAGCTTCAAATGACATTTTAATATTGTTTTCACAATTTGTGATATGCTTGCTTTATGATTTATGTTAATTAGCTGAAAATGTCCAAAAATGGATGGTGTGACAGTGTTATTTAGAAGCTATGCCATCAAACTGAAGAGAAATAATCTTCAACCAGACCCTGCAGAATTTGTGCAAAAAAATAAAATAAAATAAAGAGCGGCAAAAAAAACAAGGCGCTTTTCTGCCGTTCGTGAAAACAAATTGTTTAAAAGATCATTCATTCGAGCACTTTAGTTATTGGCCACTTCTGTTGCTTTTTCAAATGTTCCGTTTATGTTTTATAGTTTCAATAGATGTTTTTCTCCCGTAAAGAGGTTTGTTTTTTAATGGGCAGTACAATGTTTCGTTCCTACCTCAAACTCCGGGTAACAGTTATTTCCGTTAAAAATAACGAAAAATAAACAAACTCGTAGCTGTAGCCTTGACGACAAGAATACAAAAGCGAGATAACTTGTGGTCAACGTGACAATAAAAAAAAAGCAGCCAACCACGAGTGAGTGTCAATGTATTAACAGTCCTTCAAATTGTTTTAGCACCCACGGTGCAATGGTGATGGACGCTGGAAGCCTCTATCCTCACCACGCACACACCCCCCACACACACACACTTTTTCCTGGAACTGGGAACTAAAAAAAAAATTGTTATTTTGGCCTTAGTCGATGACAATGCAATAGTATCTTCTTCTTTATGTACCTGGTCCCGTTGGAACGTATGCGATCAAGGCTCTCCACAACTTCCTGTCCCTTGTAGCTCTTAAAAAACTTTGTCTTTCTGTTATTTTTCCTAAGCCATGTTCCGCCATCTATTTACTCACGCTCATCGACTATGACATACGTTGTTTTCCTCTGTCGGTCTTGCCCTCTGTGTGTCCCGTGAGTGTCAAATTTTCCAAGCCCTCCTTTCTCACATGTCTCTTCCTGATGTTATCATTTGTCTCAAATCGCTGTTTTCTCCGTCCGCAGTGAAGATCTACATTTAATTGTGATTATATTTTCAAAGACAATATAGAATGCGCCACATGATGGTTACATACACAAATATGGGAGCGGTTGAATTCTCCTAGACTGGCTGCCAACAATAGCTACAGAGCCAAGTCTACCCAACTACTTAACATATATCTGGAGTAGATAAGTGTTAGATTCAATCTTTCCCTAAAATCATTGCTGTCATTAATTTTTCAAAATAAATCGTAAAGCTTTATTTTTAGTTTGCCTTTCTTTTTTTCTGAGGGGGGAGGGCATGACCTTCTAAAACTTTTATATGCTTTTATTTCAATCTTATATGCAGAAATACTGCAAATACCCTGGACTGAACATGCGTGTAACGAGGAAGTTTTGAGAGAAATGAAAATAAAACGGACACTTGTATTTAGAATCAAAAATTACCACTGAAATTTCTAAAACACATAATGAGGAAAGAGGACTTCGAATAATTGATACCCACAAGGCATATTAAAAACAAGAAGAGGAAAGAAAGGCAAAAGAAACCTTCCTAATGAGTTTGTTTAAATAGACAGCGAAACGTTGATTGGGAGGGATGGTGAAAAGATAAGCCTTTACTAAAAGTTACAAAGGATAGAAAGTTATGGAGAAGCCATGACCGCTTACTTTCTGAAGGGACACGACACATAAAAGAAGATGATAAGATAAGAAGATGATTCAGAAAATAAGAAAACAAATGTAAATTTAAAATCAAAACTGTTTACAATAGAAAATTGATTAATGTGTATTTTATGGTTTATCAACCATTTGCAGGTTATTTAAAGCCAGAAAATATGTTTAGATTGTAATAATCTTTTAGCGATAGTCGTGAATTAATGATAAAAATCCAACTAATTAACCCATTTTGGGGAGGAGAAGAGGTGGATTCATATCTTTCCTAAGGATATTTATGCGTAAAAGAAATATAAAGACGTTATCCATTACCCCACTCGTACATTCAACCCTTGGTAATCCCAAGCGGTCACCCATATTGGTACTGACCAAACTCGACGTTGCTTAACTTTCGCTAGAACCGATGATTCAACATAATATGTCCCTAATAGAATAATAGATGTAAGATATTCATGTTGCCATATATAGTCTGGTATCCCCGCTGTTTATCTCGAGGTTCTCGACAAAATCCAAAGACAGATATGCAATGTGATAGGTCCTGACATGGCATCTCGACTCCAACCACTTCCTCATAGATGTAATATGTCTTCCCTCTGTCTTTTCTATAAATATTTTCATGGCATCTGCTCTGACGAGCTATTTTCACTGGTGCCCCAACTGCATGAATTTAAGCATGCTACTAGGTTAACATCTCGGTCCCACCCTTTTACTGTTAAAGCAGTTAATTTTAACCACCTCTTCTACTCCAACAGCTTCTTCTCTCGCACTTCCCGACAGTAGAACTCCCTTCCTCTTACTTGTTTCCTTGATAAACTATAATCTTCAAAAATTTAAATGTAATGTCAATCGACATCTTCTGATGTCTTGATTACGTTCTTCTTTTTATCCTTCTCTGTTCTACTTTTTTTTATCTTTTCTTCAATCCCCCCTATACCCAGTTTTTTTTTCCTTTATTTTCACTCTCTCTAGCCCCTTGCGTACTAGTGTTACTCCTGACGTGAAATGCTTATAAAAAATCAAAATTTAGAATAACGAATCCTTGAAATTTAACCTGATATTTAGCACCACCTCCTTTGTCATCTGCTTTAGGCACGCCTCACTTTTAATACCTGATTTACCTCCCCATATTTTGTGACACCGTGCTTGTTTAATTGCCATTTTTCCTTCTTTATCAAATCTGTCTTTTTTTTTTGTCATCAACACGAAATAACATAACGCGTAACAAGATGGAAACACTTGCCTATTGCTTGTTTCTTCATATTTCTAACGTAACTCCATCAGAAATCAAATAGGCTTAACAATTCGAACAAAACTTAACCTGCATATCTTCCATTAAAAACAAGAACACGGACCCTCTAGAAATAAGAATCGGCTGACCTTCTAATCTCGTCAGCTTAACGTGCTCTCTCGCTAGTACAAGATTATATGCGACCATGATGAAAATGGCACCGACATCTCTAGTCTACACGAACAACTTTTTTTCCCAACAACAGTAGCGACAGGCAGCAAAAAAATATCATATGATTCTCAAGGTAAAAATAAAGATCAACAACTCTGACAAACGCATTGTCTGTTCTTTGTTTGAGAGTTTGTAAATATTACACGAAGAAATGCGAGATAATAGATTTAAGGCAGTGACTCACATCATGGGTTCCAAAAGATAACTAAAGCCCTCTTTAATCTATAGCGCGATAGCTGCCAGTTGTGACGGGAAGAGGTTGAAAACTTTCAAAATAAATGAATTCAACGCGTGGAGGATTTTTATACAAAGTCTAGAGGTAATAGAAATGTGTTTCTCCCGAAGGTTGCTGAGAATACCACGGAAGTGTAAGCAAGAGAGAAGGATTTAAAATAGAAAGCGGAAGTTTCTAGGACATATTAATGAGGAAGGTGGTCTTGGAGAATTTGACACACACAGGACATACTGAAGGTAAAATGGATAGAGGAAAGGAGAGCATATCCCCAAACGAGTTTCTGCGAATGGTTGACAGAGCAAGGGATAGCAAAAGACAAGCATTAGTAAGAGCTACAAGGGAGGATGGTGTTGAGAGCTAATAAAATCCACGTCCTGAAGGGACACGACGCATAGAAGAAGAAAAGTTTTATATAAAGAAAACCATGGCTCAAAACAGAAGTGGAATTATATTCATGTGTATACATATAGACAACCCATAAAATAGAGAAAACATGGAATGGGCGGTAGTGTGTGTGTGCGCGTGCACGCGCGTGTGTGTGTGCGCGGAACACGTGGTTTTTGGAAATTAACTAGTCGGTTTGCCGGCTGCTGTTTCCACTAAGGGAAGAGGGTACAACGTCTTTTATCTACCGCATACTATGTGTGATAGTGAAAAACAAGTGCAAGAGGAGGCAAGTCCTTTACTGGTATACCGCTGATTGTCACGCTACCTGGTGGAGTTAAGCGAAGTCCATTGGCAGACAAGGTGAAGTAAGTCCGCAAGAGAATCAACAAA